CGTCTCCCGCCCGCCCCTTCGGGCCCCAGCCTCGGTGCCTGCTGCTCCTCGCATCTCTCCTTCTCCACTTACGTAATTGCTCTGGTTTGGTTTGGGTTTGTTTTGTTTCTTTCCCTTCTCTCCCTCCTTTTTCCCGGCGCTGCCGTTGGCCGCGGGAATGTTTGGGATACTTCAGTTCTCCAGGTGGATTCCTGGGCTGGAGGCTCAGCCCTGCTCGGGTGGGAGGGATGTTTGCTGTTGCTTTTCCAGCTTTGTGCGTTTCTCGAGTTTTACCTTCGCTGCTGCTCCTCTCTCGAGAGGGTACGCGGAGCTCTCGGTACCTCTGGGCTCCTCACCGAGCCTCGCCGGCTCCGGGGGAGGCCGGCAGCAGCACGGGGCTGTTTGCTAAGTGAGGCCACGCAGGCTTCTTTAATAAATGAGTAAATAGTCTCGGCACCCGCACGCCCGCTTTTTGTGAGCGCTTTTGAAGAGCAGCACAAAGTTGGATGCAGCACACAGAGTTAAGTGAAATAGTTTTGAAGACGGTGCAACGTAGGAGGTTTCGGAAGGGGATTTGTTTGTGGCAAGAGGTTAGTCTGAGTCAAGTGGCTGAAACTTTGTTGTAATGTAGATAAGCTGGTGCGGTGCCCCAGGATACGGGGAGGTGGCAGCCGACTTCGGCGGGCACTGGCCTGGGTGCCTGGGACCAAGCCCTCGAGCAGCCCCGGTGCCCAGGGGCTCATCAGGAACGAACTGTGGGCCCCAGGGGAGCGACGACGGGGGGAGAACCCCCCGGCCTGGGGCGGGAACCTCAGCATCCCCTTGTCCCAGAAGCTAAGCCGGCACCGGAGCCTCTCCGGCTGCCCTGAATACCGCTGCACCGAGCGTGGGGAGCCCACGGGGGGTCCGTGCTTGTGGGCAGCTGCAGCTCCCAGCTGTACGGTGGGTGGGCTGAGCGACACTGTGCCATGGGACGCCCTTCTGTTTCTGCTCCCCCCCCCTCTCCCTGCTGTTGCCTTCTCTCCCCTGTGGTTTCCATCCTCAAAGCAGTGACCTCGATTGCTCGGAGGAAGCGACACCCGCTATTATATAAACGGCTGAGGGCGAGTGCTCTGGGAAGGGAGATGGCACGCCTGGGCTGTGGCAGGAGGAACCGGAGCCGGTTCTGATCCGGCTTGGATTGGCACACGAGGAGTTGCGGGGTGATCTGGTGGCGGCCTCGCAGCCAGCACGGCGCGTGCTCCCTGCCCTCCTGCGTGCACGCTCCTCCCCGGGCGCCGGAGCAGCCTGCCCGGTGCACGGCCCCAAACCAGGAGGGATGTTCTCGCCATCCAGTTTGGGCAGCCGGGGCGCAATGGGAGAGCACGGGCTGGGAGGTGCGAACCGCTGCTGCGGGACCCCGCGCCCTCTCTGGGGCAGCTCAGCTGGCCAGGACGTGGGCTTGATCCTCTTCTCCTGAGCGTGGTTGTGCTGCTGAATTACACCCAGCCCCTCGCTTGGGCCAGAGCGAGCTCACGTACTGTTTAAAGGGTGTCTTGGCTCCCAGGGCACTGAGCTTCACGGGTAATTCGGAGGGCGAGGGCTTACCCCTGCATGGGAGGGGAAGGGTGTCGGGCAGGCTGACCCGCTCCCATGGGCTGCAGAGGACTTTGGCTAAACCTCCCCTGCTCCATCCCTTGGGTGCTCCCACCGGGAAAGGAGAGGGAGAGACACTGTGGTGCCCTGAGCCCCATGTGCTGCCTTTAGGGAGGGGACAGGGAAGGGGCTGTGCCCCCGTCCCGCTCCTTGGCCACCCCCCGACAGCACCCTCGGGAGGTTTCCTCCACAGGTTCTTCCCTCTCTGTTTAACACGAGGATGAGCCAAGTCCCGCCAGGACTAAATATAGTCAAAGTATTTGTTCTTCGGCGGGGATACAAAAGCTGTCGCGACGGAGCTGGGAGGTAAATGGCCTTTGAGGGCTGACTCTGCTCTTCCCCTCCGCAGGTCCCGGGCTGCCGCGCCGGGGCTCGGTCGTGTGCAGGGCTCCCCAGCGTGGCTGCAGCGCCGTCGCCAAGAGGAATGCTGAAACGAAGGGGCTAACGAGCACCAGAGAAGGGAGGATCTATAACTTCCAGATGGCGACGAGCCTGTAATCCCTTTGGGAAGAATTAGGGACTCATCAGCACAGCAGAGCCTGGTGAGGGGAGCAAAGCACGACACCTCCGGCTCCGGGAGTGCTGCGAGAGGCCGAGGGCATCCCGATGCCGACTGCACCGGCCGCCCTGCCCCGAGCCGCCTGGCTTTGTCTCGTGGAGCCCTGGTGCTGCCGGGAGCCCGTCCCCGAGCGCTGAACTATTTCTTGTTTTAATTGATCGTATGTTCTCCAACCAAAGCCCATCCGGGGCCTGCTCCTCCCGACGCAGAAAGGCACTTCTGCTCTTAACAGAAAGACTCCTTCCTTCTGTTTTTTATGTCCCGTGGGATTGTAAAGCATCTTTCTTGCTGGATTTCATCTCCCATCAAAGTGTGTTTTGAGGAATTACGGGCTTATTCCTATGGCTTTATAAACCACCGGGATCCGAGGGTCTCTGCCTTCTGCACTGCCGCCGCCCCACCTGCCTGCGATGGGGCGAGAGCAGGAGCTGATCCAGGCCGTGAAGAATGGGGACGTACCCAGCGTGCAGAAACTGGTGGCTAAGATCAAGGCGTCCAAGAGCAGTGAGTACCCGGGCGCAGAGCTGCGGGCTCCCTCTCCCCGGCCAGGCACCGCTCCCTGTCCCAGCGTGTGAGTCCCGGCAGCGGGCTCAGTGCCGTCGCAGCTGGGGTGCAAGTGCTGGCTCTGAACCCCGGTGCACGAGTCACGCTGTGGCTGGAGGCGGGAGTGCAAGCGCAGCCGGTGCGGATGAATGACCGGGCTGTAAGCGATCCTCCCGGCAGGGCTGGGGTTCCCCTCGGGCTCAGGGCCAAGGACCCTGAAGCGTGGGCCGCTGCGTGGGGATGGGCGAAGGGAAACGGCAGTGGCGGGGGGAAGCGAAGCCGCTTGGGGGGGACGCAGCTACAGAGGGTCTTTAGCGATTGCCACTCGCTCCCGGCCGTATTTATCTTGTGAAAAATTATCATCCCAGCCAGTCAACTGGAACCAATCGTCAAGCCTTGAATTTCAGTCTGGTAATGTTTAACCCTTCAGCAGGGCTGTTTTTTTGTACATGTTCTCGGAAGGGTCAGCGGCAAGCATGGCTCGGAGCGAACGTCAGGCTCGCGGGGGTCCCCAAGGGCACCGGGGTCCTGCAGGTGCCGCGCGGTGTCTGGAGGAGATGGGGAGAGTGGAAAGGTGGGGGAACAGATCAGGGCTGGTGCCACGGTGCCCTTACAGAGAACTGCGCTCCTGGTCACTTCTTGTGACCTACCAAGAGAAGGAAACTGGGAAAAGTAAATAAAAGGGCTCTCGGTGCGGTGTGTGGCCGGGGGAAGGTGCACGGCGCCTGCCCGGGCTGCGAGAGCCGCTCTGGGCTGGGGGGTGCGGGACCCCCTGCCAGGGCTGCTCATCATGGGGGGTCTCGTGGGTGTGTGTAGGAAAGCTGGAGGCGGAAAAAACTGTCCTGGGGAGAGAGAGGGGAAATTTGGGCAGGAGAAGAAGCTTTAAGGCTTCTTAGGAGCCGCTCAGGGTGGAGAGGCTGGTGCTGAGAAACATGAGTTAGGCTGAGGATTATAAATGCGAGAAGGGGCTCAGCTCCCCTGGGTCGGCTGCTGGAAAGCTTTGATTGGGGCCAAAACTTTGCAAATCCCCGCTGCTGGGCCTGCAGGAGGGCTGGGGGCCACCTCCTCCCCAGAAGAGGGGGTGCCTGGTGCCCCCTCCCTGGGTGAAGGGACTGGGTGCCATCGCCTCCACTTGCAGCTCAGGGACTGCGCCCGCACGGGCTCCCTGAGCTGGGGTGAGAGAGGTCTGCCTGCGCAGGCGGGTTGAAGGACACCCCCAAGGCAGTAAATAACGCCAGGACGCGAGCGTCCCGCCGGCTGGCGCAGCCCCGTGCCCCCGAGCTGGCGTCCCATGGCTGGGCGGTGCAGGCAGGCTGGGGTGCCTGTGGCTCTCCTCCTCCTGCGCACCCGGAGGGGTGAAGTTACACTTGTTTTCTCCAGTCTCCTCCAGTAACTCTCTCCCAGTTAAACCCCATGTGTATTTTCTCTCTGACATCTTCTCCTCCCTCCAGCTGTGGGGCACCCACGTGAACATGTGTGATTAACTCCCCCGCTGCAGCGGCGTCAGCAGCTCCCTCTGCTTATTTTTATTTTATTCCTTTATAAGGGGGGGGGGGGGAAAAAG